TCACTTCAGGTCTTTGCTTAATGTTCACTTTGTCAAACAGGTCTTTAATGATCAGTCTATGTAAAATAATACCAGTCTATTGTCACTGTGTCTCTCTTAGCTTTTTCCCTTGGCAGCATTTATCAACACCAAACATATTTTGATTTCATTTGTTTATTGTCTGTTTCCTCTCACTAGAATGCAGAGTAATCCATGAGAATAGGAATTTTTGTCAGTTTTTTTTCATTCCTCTATCAATAGTGCTTAGAATTTAGTAGATGCTCAATATTATTTGTTGACTGTGTGACTGAATGAATGAACACATAGTCCCTGCTTTTAAGAAGCTTACAGACTAGTGGAGGAACTGAAAATAGCCAAAATATACCAAGTGTTAGTGTATATCAATAATGTGTTGATAAATATGTTTCAGAGAAGTTTCCTAGCTCTTTCCATATTTGCAGTGTCTTAGTGACGGCGTGTCTGATGATCTTGAGCATGATCGCAATAGGAGTATATGTGTATTTGGTTGTAAATCTTGTTTTTTAAATTAAAAAAATTTTTTTTCTTTATTGATTTTAGAGAGAGAGGAAGGGAAAGGGAGAGAGAGATAGAAACATCAATGAGAGAGAACATTGATTGGCCACCTCCTGCATGCCACCACTGGAGACTGGGCCCACAACCTGGGCATGTGCTCTGGGAATCAAACCAGCGACGCTCAACCACTGAGCCACACTGGCTGGACGGTTGTAAATCTTTTCTGAATCTAATTGGATCATCCATAATAGAACACTTCAGATTTCTTTCAGTGAAAGTCTGTGCTATCTTGCCCTGGCCGATTTGGGTCAGCGGTTAGAGCGTCTGCCTGTGGTCCAGAGAAAGTCTGTGCTATCTTACAGGACTTGGGTTGGGTAGTTGATGTAATGTACTTATCTCCAACCCTAGTGGTATAGAACCTTAGGGAAAAAATTTTCATTTTGCTGATAGCCTGAAACCTTTTTTTAAAAAAGTATGTTTTTACTGATTTTTTTACAGAGAGAGGAAGGCAGAGAGAGATAGAATCGTTGATGTGCGAGAGAAACATTGGTCAGCTGCCTCTTGCATGCCCCCTACTGGGGATCAAGCCCACAACCCGGTCATGTGCCCTGACTGGTAATTGAGCTGGGCCCTCTCAGTCCATGGGATGACCTGAGCCACCCTGGCCAGGCTGGAACCTTTTTAATTTATTTTTTATCCTCACTCAAGGACGTTCCTGCATTCATCTTCAGATAGAGCAGGAGGGAGAGAAGGAGGAAGAGAGAGAGAGAAACATTAATGTGAGAGAGACACATCAAGTGGTTGCCACCCACACGACCCCATCCGGGGCCGGGGACAAACCGCAATCGAGGCATGCGCCCCTAGCAGGAACCAACCCCAAGACTCTCTGGTCCGAGGGCTGATGCTCTAACCGCTGAGCCAAACCGGCCAGGGCTGGAACCTTTTTTTAGTAAGTAAATAAACACATCAACAAACTACAATCAAGTATGTAGTAGATACCGTTCTAATGAATTGTCCGTAGTGGTTCATAGCCTACAATATATATCAAGTCTGGATTCTAGTTAATATTAGACTAGTTAATTTGAAGGTGAAGTCTGACAGAGATAGTTATAAAAATTTTCTGTCATCATCGTTTTCTTATTTATCTAGGTCAAAATGAAGGAACCATAATGTAAAGTTTGTGGGTGCTGAGTCCCTGAAGCCTTTGATTTATGGTGGTTAATATCTGAAACAGAACAAAGAAACTATTATAGGCAAAAAAGATAATATGTGAGTAAAAGAAAAATAAGGAATTTAATTTGGAAATTAAATATTCAAACTTAAAATTCTGTAATAAAACATGCATACCTGAAGTCAGCTTTTTGAGTAAAATTTTCTCAACATCCAATAAGACTCTCTTGAATCCATTTTCAGAATTTGTGCCCTAAAGTAATATGGAAGCTGCTCAAGAATATTCACATCTTTTTTTTTTTAATTTTAATTTTTGCAGATAGAGTGGGAGGGAGAGAGAGGAAGAGAGAGAGAGAGAGAGAAACATTGACATGAAAGGGACACATTGAGTGGCTGCAACCCACACAACCCAACCAGGGCTGGGGACAAACTGCAACCAAGGCATGTGCCCTTAGCGGGAACCAACTCCGGGTCTCTCTGTACCACAGGCCGATGCTCTAACCGCTGAGCCAAACTGGCCAGGGCTATTTACATCTTTTTCACAGCCTTCCTGAAGTCTTTGCTTTCTGAAACCCCTTGAACAAAATGTCACATTCCTTCTGCAAACTTGTATTGAATTACTGCTTTTTGGCCATACATTCTTCTGGCGACACAATGGTGAACAAGGCAGAATGGAAGCTCTTGCTCTTATGAAACATTTGATAGGAATGCAGGGAGACAGTAAATGAGGAAAAATATCAGTGAACTTGATTTTAGGCAGCAGTGGGTTCAGGGCAGGAAATAAGTGTGTGATATGACTGTGGGTGGGAGGGTGCTTGGCAAATTTTGATTGGGTGATCCCTGAATGGCAAGGCCGAGGAAGAGCAATTACAGAGGTCCCAAGTGGGGAATGAGCTTGGCAAGAAGGAAACACAGGGAGCAGCTCAGTGTAGCCGGAGGGCAGAGTCAGGGTGAATGGTAGGAGACTTTAGAGAGGTCAGAGGGAACCAGATCCTGTGGAGCCTTGTTACCCTAATAGTTTTCCTGATTCTCCTTTAGTTTGTCCAGCCTCTAGCCAGCAACAAACCAGTAACATTTCAAGAAACCACCTCTTTCCTTTAAATGTAAGGGGTAGAAGTGAATAGGATGGTGAGAGTTTATTAGAAAAAGCTGTTTAATGTACAGGTGGAGATAAACGAAAGTACTGTGATCTTTTAAAGAGATAAGTCTGAAAGGACCTAAAGAAAAGATCCTAAAGTTTCTTTACACTCTTCTTAGGGTAGTTTAGTCAGAAAACTACTTTGAATAGGTAATATGTGCATTCAATATAAAAGTCAAAAGGTGCAAAGGATACTGAGTGAACGGTACATCTCCTTCCCACATGGCTTCCCTAGCCAGTAGTTAGCTAATAAAAGTCAGTGCTGCCATGAATTGCAAGTAAAAGATTGGGTACATTTTTTGTTTACTAGTACAAAGGTATGCCATTTTTTTCCTAGGAATGTATTTGAACTGTGCCACTTAAATACCTATGGTTTTTCAACACTTACCTAGTTTTACTGGGGTTTGGTTACCTAAAGTGCCAGGGATCCTTCTAGAGTGGGGAATTGCTGAGAATACAGGGGTGTGTCTGTGTGTAGTTATTGTGAGGCTGAGGATTCGTTGGTAGTGGGCTATGTGTCAGGAGAGTGCTGTGGTGTGGGAGCTACTTGCCTAACGGGCCTTCAAGCCCCTGGAAAAGTGCTCAGCAGTTGTCTAGGTCAGACTGGGTTTGCTGATTTCTAACAGGGCTCATTGTTTAGGCTACTCAGTGTCGACCGTCTTGGCCAAAGTACCTTCCTTTTCCAAGTAAAGTATGTACCTAAACCTGGTAGGAAACTGTGTACTTTATCCACATGCCTTTACCCAGCTGTGGAATGGGGGCAGGTAGAATTTTGAGTGGGATTGTGGCTTTTCATCACCTCCTGAGGCAGACTATGCCTTGAAATAAACTTATTTTCTGTCTCTTCCTACCAGTCCCCCCAAAATGCCAGATGGGTATGGGAAAACTTGACTGAAAAAGATCATCACAGTGTAACCTCTTCATTTACCTCGAAATAGAAAAAAGTTACTGGAATGATACACCTATATTCAAATGAGTTTTTTTTTTTTTTTTCTTTTTTGACATATAAAAAGTATATGCTGCTGTTGTTTTCTTAGTGCAGGAATTAAAAATAGACTATTGAGCCCTGGCTGGTTTGCCTCAGCAGTTTTAACTTTGACTCGCAGACCAAAGAGTTGCAGGTTTGATTCCGGTCAAGGGCACATACCTTGGTTGCAGTTCTGTCCCCAGCCCTGGTCGGGGTCATGCAGGAAGCAACCAGTTGATGTGTGTCACATCAATGTTTTTCATTCTCTCTCTTTCTCTCTGCCTCTCCCACTCTTATCTGAAGATAAATGGAAAAATATCCTTGGGTGAGAATTAAAAAAAAAATAGACTGTTGCTGCAGATCTGGTATGAGGCAAGGTAAGATCATGCCTTTTGTGTGATTTATTAAAATATACTTAAAATTCTTAGGCAGTTAGGATGCTTTTAAACTCATTTTCAAAATTGCAAACTAATAAATTTGGGTTTCATAAAACAGGATCTTAATGTTGGTGTATTTTTTTTTTTATCCTCACCTGAGGATATTTTTCCATTGAATTTTAGTAGAGTGGAAGGGAGTTAGGGAGGGAGGGGAAGAGAGAGTGAGAGAGAAACATTGATGTGAGAGAGAGAGAGAGACATTGATTGGTTACCTCCTGCATGACCCCAATCGGGGCTGGGGATTGAACCTGCAACCCAGGTACATGCCCTTGACCAGAATTGAACCGATGACCTTTTGGTCTGAGGGCTGATGCTCTAACTGCTGAGCCAAACCAGCCAGGGCTTATGTTGGTGTATTTTGTGAGCAATTCTGAAAGGAGATAAAGCTAATGAGTTTCTACTCCATATAAAAAATTATTACAAAATAAAAATTTAAATGTAAAGCAAGTAGGAACAAACTGTTATAAAGAGATTATTGTAAACATAAAATAAATGATCCCTTAAATAGACTTTCTTTGTATATAGTTAGTTGATCTCTTTATTCATAAAACAGTGAAGTCCTTTTAAAGAACTGCTTGGAAAATCTTTTCTGTGAGTCAAATTTTTAAACACTTTTCTGATATGCTTTGTAAGAGCAACTTAGCAATGATGAACAGAAACTCAGATATACAGTGTTTCTACTTCTATTAAAAGGAGGAAGAATAGTGATTTTTCTTTGAATATTTAAGAATGCTAATATGCTCTAAGATAAGTTATGGGCTTTTATAAAACATTTTTTTTAATGGTACGCTTCACAAATTTGCATGTCATCCTTGCACAGGGGCCATGCCAGTCTTCCCTGTATAGTTCCAACTTAGTATGTGTGCTATTGAAGTGAGCATTAAAAGCTCTTTTCATACGTAACTTCAACTTATATATTTTAAATCATTGGAACTTTTATTACTTAATGTTTTCATTTACTTTTCTTTGCAGAAATGACTTGGTTGCTACATAGATTCAGTCATTTACTAAATGTGCTGAGCCCTGACTCAGCTTTTCCACCTATCACTGTGATGCTGATTTCTTCCCAGGAGGTTTTGCAGTTTTAGTAGACTGCCTTTAATATAATAATAAGATAAAACTTACAGATTTTATTGGTGAAATGAGTTAGAAAAGTAATCCATAGAGTTTATGTGTGTAATGATTGTATTTCTATGGTATTTTCATAGGTTTAGCAACTATTTAATAAGGAGCTAGTTTGAGATCATCCTTCTGCCAAGCATTTATGAGTGATTTCTCTTTCAAAAAGGAATTAATTATTTTATTACGAAAGTAATTGTCGTTATCTATAAATAATACTTGAAACTGAGGAGTTTAAGATGTATAGGATACAGCCCTGGCCTGTCTGGGCTCAGCTGTTAGAGTGTTGGCCCACAGACCAGAAAGGCCCAGGTTCGGTTCCCACTAAGGGCACGTACCTCTGTTGCAGTTTGTCCCCGGCCCCAGTTGGAGTCCTGTGGGTGGCAACCACTCGATGTGTCTCTCTCACGTCGATGTTTCTCTCTTTCTTCCTCCATTTCTCCCTCCCACTCTATCTGAAAATAAATCTAAAAATGTCCTCGGGTGAGGGTTAAAAAAAAGAAGAAGAATATATAGGATACAGAATTTGAGCTTTTGAGGAGTGCTAAACTGTTGGCAAGATGCAGTTTAAAGTGTAAAATAATTGGAGAATTGCTAGAGAGGAATGTGTAGGGGATTTTGGAGGAGTCTGTAAAGATGAGCTGGAGTGACAGGGACAGTTTTTTGGAGCGTGGGGCCACATCTGGATGTCTCGGTTGGATTTGGGTAGCTGATGAAGAATATTTCAGGTGGAAGACATTGGGCCAGGTAGACCATGCGAAGGAAGTCAGAGACCTGGATACCTGTTTATTCTAAAGTGTTGTGAGGACCACAAACTGATGGTTTATGGGTGTGTTTGGTCTGCAAGATGATGAAATAATTTTTAAAAATTATTTGTCAACATTTTAATATTGAAAATTTTCAATAAGAAACCTGATGTTTAGGATTCTCGAAAATAATCACAAGATCTGGCAGCATTAGGCCAACATTCCTATGTAATGACTGTGCAGAGCTGAGTGGTGGCTGTCCTTTGCCCTGTTCACACCTTCTCAGTTGGCCACAGTCCTTACACTCCCTGTGGAGATACAGAGGCTCTGTGTCAGCTGCCATTTATTGTGGTGGCTGAGGTGTTACTGCCTTTTTAAGGTAGAGTTAAGAACATAGAAAATTTCTTGTACCATGGCAAATTTCTCTCAAAAATGGGAAGAAGGAAGATTAAAAGGGCATCATGTATCAAGAAAAATGGAAAAGCCCTTCTTTCTTTCTTTTTTTTTTAATCCTCACCCGAGGACATTTTTCCATTTTTTGTTCAGGTAGAGTGGGAGGGAGAGAGAGGAAGAGAGAGAGAGAGAGAGAGAAACATCGATGTGAAAGGGACACATCGAGTGGCTGCCACCTGCACAACCGACCAGGGCCGGGGACAAACTGCAACAGAGGTATGTGCCCTTAGCGGGAACCGAACCCGGATCTCTCAGGACCGCAGGCTGACGCTCTAACCGCTGAGCCAAACCAGCCAGGGCGGAAAGCCCTTCTTTCTGGAGATGAAAATACTCCTATGTCTTTACTTTGGAATCATGATGTGTTTATGTCAGCATAGTTTGATTGACTTCACATACTTATGTCCCCTGCCCAGGCCCCATACGGTGGCATTGAGTTTTGATATCTTTTAAAAAAAAATTTTTTTTTTTCCATTATTGATTTTAGAGAGAGAGGAAATGAGAGGGAGAGAGAGATAGAAACATCAATGAGAGAGAACACTGATTGGCTGCCGCCTGCATGCCCCCCTGGGGATTGGGCCCACAACCTGGGCATGTGTCCTGACCAGGAATCGAACTGGTGACCTCTTGGTGCATGGGTCGACACTCAACCACTGAGCCACACCAGCTGGATGAGTTCTGATATCTTTATTGGTCAAGAGCTTGGGCTCTGGAGTCAGACAGACCTGAGTGGGAGCCCTGGCTTTTCCATTCACTAGCCTGGTGATCTTGAACAAATTACCCTTTTTGCCTCATTCTCACTTTTGATACCGAGACAATAATACTACCTTCTTATATCATTGTATGGTTGGAAGATCAAGTGAAATCATTTAAGATATAGAACACAGTCGGTGCCTGACACATGTAAACATTTAATGTCAGCTATGTAATTATCAAGCTAAGAAAAAGATAGTTTCTAGCTTCATTGCAATTGGGCTTGTAAGAAGAAGGAATTTCTGAGCTCTGGTTGTTTGTGTTTGTTAGTTAATTCATCTAGTGCTTCTTGAGCAGTAGGCACTGTGTTCTGTTCCAGTGAACAAGGCAGACACAGCTGCTGCCTTCATATTGCTTATAGTCTGGAAATGGAGAAAGATAACTAAGCCAGCGATTAGAATACAGTGTGATACTCAAAGTAGAAGATCTTAAAATAGAGTAGTTTAATGATTCTGTGGTTTTATCTTTTATGAGAATTTCAGTGTTAAGGATAGGTGCCAGACAGGGCAGAGTACACTGGTAATGATGGGCCCTGTTCATAGGAGCATGGCACTGTAAGTGGTCCACCATCTTTCCTCCTCCTCCCTCAGATCATCATCATTTATGGAGCACCTACCATTGATTAAACAGATAACCAAGATTGGCAGGGAAAAAAAGAAAGAGAAGCCTTTCTCTGGATAAAGAAAGCTCTGTCCTCTGCTTGCTCCCACCGCTGTCCCCAATCTGTACTGGGAGAAGAGAAGTTAAGAGGATATAACCCAAACCAGTGTCTGGGAGAGGGATAAAGATACTTCTCCTCATCCTCAAGGATTTGAAAACAAGAAGGCCAACAGAGAACCCCATCAGTTTTGAACTTTGGAGCTGCCACTGGGAACAGGAAAATCCTTCAAAATTTAATTTACTTTTATTTCAAGATATTAATACTATGTACCATTAAAAATTAGTACTTTAGCCCTGGCCGGTTTGGCTCAGCGGTTAGAGTGTCAGCCTGCGGTCCAGAGAGACCCAGGTTCGGTTCCCGCTAAGGGCATGTACCTTGGCTGCAGTTTGTCCCCGGTCCTGGTTGGGTCGTGTGGGTGGCGGCCACTCGATGTGTCCCTTTCACATCAATGTTTCTCTCTCTTCCTCTCTCTCCTTCCCACTCTATCTGAGTGAAAAATGGAAAAATGTCCTCGGGTGAGGATTAAAAAAAAAAAAAAATTAGTACTTTATTGCATATCTAAGAAATTATTTTAAATGCATAAAAGAAAACTGATTTATTTTAACAACTTGTATTTTATTATTTTAAATAATCCCTGTGGAGCCCTGGCCTGTGTGGCTGAATTGATTGAAGCATCAGTCATCCTGTACACCGAAAGTATCAGATTTTATTTCTGGTTATGGCACATGCCCAGGTTGCCGGTTTGATCCCCAATCCAGGTGCATATGGGAGGCAGCCGATCCATGTTTCTCTCTCACATTGATGTTTCTCTCTCTTTCCCTTCCTGTCTCTTTAAAATCAATAAAACAAACATATCCTTGGGTGAGGATAAAATAATCTCTGTGGATTGCTTTTATAATAATCCTTTTTATTATTATTATTATTATTATTATTGTTATTAACTAGAAATACAGTACTGTGGGAGAAAGTATAGGGGAGATGAATTCTTGGGTTTGATAAGGTGTGTGACTAGGAAGGACTTGGCAGAAGATTGAATGAAGAGACTTGGGGGAGGGTATGCTGTAGACAGACTGGGCAGTTGAGGCAGTAGCATACACAGTGGAGGAAAGTTTGGGTGGCTGTGATGCAGAGATTTGTATCTGTTTTTCAGTGTATTGAATTTTTCTGGCAGGAGATTAGAGAACACAGAATAAATGTTTCTAAAGAGTCATTATGTGAATAACTTTGGAAATGGATGTATCTGTGGGGGGTGGGAGAGATAGGTGTTTATTATTTCTAGGGTCTCTGGCCATTTCCCCCTCCTCAGAGCAATCTTCTCTCCTCTTTGGAGAAAGCCCCTATTGGAGAGGAGGAAGGGCCTACCCTCCACCCTGGAAACTGGATGGGCCAGTGTGGTAGTTCCCTTCTTTGGTGTGCCCTTGTGGATGCAAGACTCAGATTCCCCTAGTTGGCTGGGTGGAGGGTGAGGGGAGGGCAGTGGCTCTTTCCTGACCAGATAGATGTTCATGCTGTAGACCCAGGCTGTGGTTTTTGCTGCCAGTTCTGGAGTGCCCATGGTGTAGGCTCATCTTCAGAGCCTGGTCCTCTAGGCCATTCCAGTTTTCTGACCTTTGACATTTCTTCTAGAAATATCAACTATACCTTTTGGCTACAGAAAACCAGACTTGGTGTCTGTTGCTTGTAACCCAAGAACCCGGTTTTAGTATACACCCTGGGTTTTTTGGGTAACCTCACTAATTCACTACACCAGAAGAAATGTATATATGTTGAGATTTATTTACTTATTTTTGTGGGAGAGCTGTTTTACTTTGTTTATTGAATAGGCTTTAACATTTTTCCTTTGTGTGTGTGTGGTAAAAATTTCTTCATGCTAGAGTTTGTACAATTGATTAAAAATTTTTTCTTTATTGATTTTTAGAGAGAGAGAAAGGGGGAGGGAGAGACAGAAACATTGATGAGAGAGGACATCAATCGGCCGTCTCCTGCATGCCACCCACTGGGAATGGGGCCCACAACCTGGGCATGTGCCTTGACCTAGAATTGAACTGGCGACCTCTGGGTGCATGGGTTGACGCTCATCCACTGAGCCACACCAACCGGGCTACAATTGATTTTTTTTTTTTAATCCTCATCTGAGGGCACCTTTCTATT